AAAGAATCTCTCAGCAAAAACGTCTAACAGTGTCAGAGCCTTGTATAGATAGATCATCTTAACAAACTCAAAGACTCTCAAAGACAGAAAAACACACCCCTGTGTATCCCTTTTAAAAAAGTGACAAAAAAAGTTCAACTATAAAAATAAAACAAATTGAAATCCATTTTCTGTCTATCTTTTAATAAGACAGGTGTGAAAGATATTGCATGATCCTTAAAATTTTCTTCTAAATCCTTTTTAAATTAACTCTAGGATTTCCTTTGAAACTAAAAATTATAATCTTTTTAGGATTTCTAATGTTCTTTTTAAATTCTTCATCATAAGACAGTCCATAAGTCTACTGCCTAAGAATGGGAAAGTTTCCAAATTTTATAGCTGTCTCCTATCTTGAAGCCAAAACATTTAACGAGTCTCTTGGTTTTAATGTTCTTAACTCAGCTGAATGTCTGAACATTTTAGATGAGAGACATTTTTATCACTATGACAAAAATGGCAACTTTAATTTTAATGACTCCATCAAAAGTTGATCAAGTATGTTGTTTTTGTTAGGTCTTTTAAAAGATGAGCTTGCAGGCAAGCTCTCCCTCTCTGGAGCAGGCCCTCACCTTTCCCTTCCCACTCTCCTTCCCTCAGCCTCCGGACCTTTGCCTTTCTCCCTCCTAAGCTTCAAGGGCACTTTTTTGCTTCTGTAACTTGTTTCCTGAGCTTAAGAGGACAGCTGGCTCACTTCTACTACCTCTGTAACTTTCTAAATAAACTTTCTGTTATAATTTGAAAAACAAAAAAAAGAACTTACAAACCAACAATTTAGAGACCTATCAGTTTTGGCTTTAAAGCTTCCCTTTAGCTCAATACATGAATTAACCATTTATTTACACATGGCATCTTGTAAAAATGAATCTGAATTGTAGTTAGAAATCCAGAACAAAGTTTTCCAACAGGAAGCTCACTTTTTGCAAATAATTCAATCAACTATCAAAAACTATATCCCCATCCTCACATTTTTTTACATTAATAGTTTCCTGTTAAATAGAGGAAAGTATTAATTTGAGTGAAAATACTTTTGTACTTTCAATAATTTCTTACATTTGTTAAATAATGCTTGAACATCTCTTGATATTTTAAATAGTTTTATGGAAGATTTTTTTTTAAATTGAATTGCTTTTTAAATTTTATTTTGAACCCAGTATTTTTTTCCCCATTTTAAAAATATTTATATTTACTGTTGAAGTATTACAGATGTCCCTTTTTTCCCCCATTGACTTCTTTCTCCCCATTCCTGCCCCCACTCCAGGCCTTCACCACACTATTGTGTATGCCCCTGGGTTATGCACATATGCATATAAGTTCTTTGGTTAACCCCTTCCTGATGCCCCCACTTCCTACCTTCCCTCTGAGATTCATCTGCCTGTTCCATGCTTCCATATCTCTGAATCTATTTTGTTCCTCAGTTTAATTGTTCATTAGGTTCCACATAAATGTGAAATCATTATGTACTTTCCTCTCTCTGACTGGCTTATTTTGCTTTGCATAATACATTTTTTATTAAATTTATTGGGGTGACTTTCGCCAATAAGATCGCATAGACTTCAAGTATATAATTCTATGATACATCATCTGTATATTACATTGTATGCCCACCACCTACAGTCAAATCATTTTCAGTCTTCATATATCTGGCCCCCTTTGACCTTTAGTACCCCCCACCCCTTCCCTCTAGTAACCACCACACTGTTTGTTGTCTGTGTCTATGAGTTTTTGTTTGTTTTTCCCATTTTCCCAGTTTTAAACTGAATCATTTTCAGTTAAATGAATTCTCTATGAATAATGTTCATTTTTCTAAATATTTAGAAATGATTTTAGAGTATTAAGTATTTTAAAACATCTATGATTATCGGAAAATTTTAAGAAGGTAATATTTTATTGTCAAATAAGTGAAGAATAATTCACTTAATGAGAGAGTTTTCTGGAAGAATTAGTACTTATTTTAATAGCTAAAATGAAAGTACAAATAAATTACATATTAAAACTTGAGAATTAATCTTCTTAATCAAATCTATAGTCCTTTTTGCCCCAAATTCTTTTTCTGGTATTTGAATATTACAATTGTGGGTTTTTTTAAGAAATAAATCTGGAAACATTTCAAATCATCAGTGTTATTCATGGTCATGCTATGAATATGAATAAAACCATAGAAATCAATACAACTTAACAAAAGGAAGACAAACAATCCAATTAAAAAATGGGCAAAGAACCTAAATAGACACTTTTCCAAAGAGGACATACAGATGGCCAAGAGACATATGAAAAAATGCTCAAAGTCACTAATCATCAGAGAGATGCAAATTAAAGCCACAATGAGGTATCACTTCACTCTTGTCATAATGGCGACCATCAACAAATCAATGAAGGACAAGTGTGGCAAGCATGTGGGGAAGGGGGACCCTAGTCCACTGCTGGTAGGAATGCAGACTGGTGCAGCCACTACGGAAAACAGTATGGAGATTCCTCAAAAAGTTAAAAATGGAACTGCCATTTGACCCAGTGATCCCACTTCTAGGAATATATCCTAAGAATCCTGAAACACTAATCAAAAAGAACTTCTGCGCCCCTGTGTTCATAGCAGGGCAACTTACAATAGCTAAGATCGGGAAACAGCCCAAGTGTCCATCAGTAGATGAGTGGACAAAAAAGCTGTGGGACATTTACACCATGGAATACTATGCAGCTGTAAAAAAGAAAGATCCCTTACCCTTTGAGACAGCATGGAGGGAACTGGAGAGCATTATGCTAAGTGAAATAAGCCAGTCAGAGAAAGACAAGTATCACATGATCTCAGTCATATGTGGAATATAATGAACAAAATAAATCGATGAACAGAATAGATCCAGAGACATAGAAGCATGGAACAGACTGATGAATCTCAGAGGGAAAGTGGTGGTAGGGGAGTAGGTGGGGAGAGATTAATCAAAGAACTTATATGCATAAATTAATAACCCATGGACACAGACAATTATATGGGGAAGGCCTGGCAGTGGCAGTGGGGTGGAGGGGATCAATGGGGGAAACAAAGGGGACATCTGTAATACTTTCAACAATAAAGATAAATTTTTTAAAAATAGACTTTTTAAATGGCTGTGTTCTGATTTTGTTTACCTTTTATTGCACAAATGCTGTGAAATGCTAATTAAATTCCATAATTTAAAAATAAAAGTCTTCATTGCTTACCACTAGTTCAGGAAATACTGAGCATAATAACCATGTCTCTAGTCCCTTTAGTCATATGAAAACTTACTTCTAGCAAAGTTTACTAAATTTACAAGCATTTTAATGACTTGTATGCATGGGATACTTTTCTGAAATCTGAGACTAGAGTGGTAGATAGATAATGCATGGGCCATGCAAGAAGATGGGTAGGTAGACAAAAAACAAAGTGTCATAAATACTACATTTATATTATAGGAAGTCTAAAATATAATTGATCAAATATACATAGGAGTCAGGAAACGCTTACCAGAGGAAATGCAGTGTGAGGGTGGACTGATGTAGAGTAGTTATAATATGTATTTTGTGATTTTAAACATGCTAAATTTTTGCTAACACATACTGTATAATTTTCCATTTAAATAAGTACATACCAATCTTGTCAAGTCTGTTTTCCATAACCACTCTTCTGTTTTTAAACATTAGTTCTTTCCTAGTCCTCAATTCACCATTATAAATATATGTCTAACATAGTTTTATGTGTTTTTATTATGATAAATATCCTAATATGGTATTTGCCAAAGAGATGAGAGTTCTTTTTATAATAATTAGAGAATTCGAAGTTGCCTTTTCCATTTCTGATTGTTGCTAGTTTCTAATTTATATCTTTGAATGTTAATTTAGTAAAAGGCCCTGGTCTAGTTATTATATGGGTAATACCACACAATGCAGAAAGTGGGCATTTGGTATCTAGGTGTTCCATTTCAAAAATGAAAAGAAATATTGCTTTTATATTCCAAGTGCCTTACTTTATATGTAAAATATTTGATAATTTAAGAAATTAATTAGCTTTCTCAAGAACAACCACAAGAAGAAAGTGTGAGAGAACTGAGTGTAGGACCAAGGTGTGAGTGGCACACAGGCTACACATCTTTGTCACTTTATTTCACTTTTGCTCATGGTTGAAATTATCTAAACTGTGTTGTTTTTTTTACATTATGTTTTCAGCTCATATGAATATAGGGGCTCATTTTTTTATAAGTTTGTACTGGTATCTGATGTTTTCCTCACTTTTTAAATTTTTGCCAAGCTTACCAGATTTGATGCTTTTCAAAGGTAACCTCTCTCTCTGACTACCAGCTCTATTCCAGGCCTTCGTACCAACTCCTCACTCATATGATCTCATTGAATTCTCATGTAAAATATGTAAGATGAGATCATTGGTGCTTAGGTAAAATGACTTTTCCATAACCGTAAAGCTAGTTATTGGTAAGAGTCAAAGTCTCAAATGCTGTTCTTTGTAGCACGGTGCTCATGCTGGCATCAGACAGATCATACTAAGTTTCATCTTTGCTCCTGCCACCATCCTCTTCTAAAAACCCCAGCTACATGCTGAACGATGGAAATTGTCTCCTGACTGGTTTATCTTCTTCCTCGGCCATAATTAACCAGAATACATTTTTAAAACTGTAAATTTGATCACATAAGCTATTCTAGATTTTTCCCCCTCTTTGTCTCAGATAGAAGAGCTAAGTTTGGAAGATGAGGAGTTAGCTAGGCAAAGAAGAGGGGTAGGATGGTACAGGTGGAAGAAGCAGCCCATCCAGGGGCCTCACCTTTCCAAAAGGCAAGTTGGTTTGAGGATTTGCAAGTATAATTGGAGATTTTCAAAGTTGTCTTTGAAAGTATATGGAGGTCAGGGCAGGGAGAATGGTGAAAGCCAGATGCATATGGGCCTTGTGTATCATGCTAGAATCTTACTTGTGACATATAATCTGATTTGCATTTTATAGAGATAATCATTACTCTGGTGGCAAAATGAAAATATGGAGGAAATATTGTCTGTGATAAGACAGAAGCACGGATTCTCTTTATGAAGCTGTTGTATTAATGCAGGCGAGAGGTAGTGAAGTACTGAATTACAATAAAGGGAATCAAGAATGAGTGCAAATAGAACTGGAATACTAAGGACATTGAATCAAGAGAACCGGATTGATTAGGTGAGAAAACATTCATCCTAATATCAAGTATTTATTGCCACTAAACTATTGCAATAATTAAGAAGTAGAGTTATTGATGCATGTCAGAAAACCAACACATTTTAATAAAATAATTTAAAAAATAGTAACTTCAAGCCAACATCAATAGAACTATATGCACATTTTAAAATTCTCTGTACCTTTTATTTCATATTAATATATATTTTCTATTCAGCTTATTCATTTTTGATATACTGAGATAAATTTAAACGTATATTGCCCTTGGCTCCAAAATAAATTGAAAAAGTGTACATAAATGATTTACCAATCTGGCTCCTATGAATTGAATTTCCATTTTATTCTTATTGCTCACATCTTTTATAGTACTGTCAATTTTCTTCTTTATTAACATGAAGTTTCTTGTGCCTGAGTAACTTTTTCTATAAATGTGAAAAATAGAGTTGAGTGGAAAGAGACCTATGAGAAGCCATAGATTCTAGTGTCTTCTTTTATCTGCTATTCAATAGTGGCATAGCCTTGTGCACAGTGACTTCTTATATCTAGACCTGGGAAATTAGATCAATAGCAACGATACCTGCCTCGTAAGGATATTTTAAAGGCCAAACTAATTAAGTTGTATGGAAAAACTTTGAAAACTGTAGAGTACCCAAAGAAAATACTAAAATTGGCTTATATTTAATTCTGAGCTCAGTTACACCTATGCAGACCATTTGACTAATGCATGTAATCACTCTAAAGAAAATTAAAGTGTGCTCTTCCTTAGAGATTAAAAGTTTACAGAGCTAATAGCACTTACAGTAAAATTCAAATGCACACATTTTCAGAGTTATAATCCAAATTACAGTTCCTTTGGTCAGGCATCAAAATCACAAACTAGAACATACTGAAAAAATAATTAAAACTATATCTCCCTCACACACTTGTATTGGAATAGGAATATATTACTTATAGATAATGTCCTAGGAATTGAGATGAATTTCTCATTTATATTTAGTTTTAAAATTTACCATTATAAATTCAGTGATTGAGACATACACATATATATTTATCTCATCACTTTATGAGAGGCCTCTCCAAGCAGAACCATGCTCTGAGAGTACTGGGAAGCCAGTTTGCTTCTGAAGAAGGGCCTGCCTAAACCTGGCTGTCTTAGAGGCAGTCCCACAGGATATTAGCATTGGAAGGTATCTTCATGACCATCTCCTCCAACCATAAGTCTTACACAAGAATGTTGTCTTTGATATTCATATAGAATGAACCTATCAGCAAACAACAAATTCAATGCCTCCAGCCCATCCTAATGTGGAACTATTCAAATAGCATGTTCTTAATGTAAAAATAAGATCCCCATGCAATTTAATCTTTTATTCCAAATCATGTTTTATGACTTTAACACCTCCTCTTCCTGCTCCCTTAAAAATTGTATTGGAAGAAATCTTCCCTGTATATTATCTCTTTCCCAAGATCTAATTTCCAGTTTTATTTTTCAGCCATTTTTCATTTGCAATGGTTGAGGTGGGCTGTACTTTCCTTGGATGTCTGTCTCTAGGCATGTCCCTCCGAATTCAGAGTGAGACACATTGTATTCCAGATATAGTTTGGTAAGGACCAAATAATTCGCTGCAACTATCAGACTTGCTGTTCTGGATGTTTTTTTTCTATTAATGAATATTGAGATTGCAGCCCTGAAATTGTTGACCCTTAGGGTCATGGACACAATTGATACCTTAAGTGTGTTTCATGTAAACTGCCTTTAAAGACATATCCTTCAACCTACCATCTAACAGTTTAGTTTCTGAATCTAAGCATCTTTAGCTTTGGCTCTATTTTATTTCATTTTGACAGTCTTGGCCCATCCATTAAACCTATGGAGACATTTTTAAATCCCAGTTTTGTGTCAGTCACAGCATCACAGATTTAATAAGCACTATTTCTTATATCTTCCTGTAAGTCAATGTTAAAATGCTGAACAGGAAAAGACGAAGGACAGCAGGGTTACTGTCTAATGAAATAATGTATCTGAAAGTGCTTTGCAAACACTATTTTATATTCATCTTGGGTTCTGCCTCCTTCCTTCTGTCTTTTATACATACCACTTTATAATCTGACCGTATGGGAATTTCTTCCTGAACAGTCTTCGTGGTTTCCGTAACTTTCTTTCCAATAACTTCTTTGTCATCAAAATCATTTCTAATTACATCATACAGGTTTTACTTTTAGAACTTCTCTTTTTGAGTCATCTTTTCTCTTAGAAACTCTATCCTCAAGAGGTAACTTCTCTGAGTATTTTAGTATATGATTTTCCTTTATTTGCCTTTTAAAATATTTAATTTGTATTTCTTGAGTGTCTGTTATATGTAGCTGAGTCTGCTTGATGCTGCAGGGCATGGAGTTGCCCATGGGATGTTGCTGGACTTCAAAGAGCTTATAGGCTGATGGAAGAGCTAAGGCACATGATATGCCATTAGCGATTCATTGTAAATTGATACCTCCCACTCCATTCTCTTAGGTCTTCCCTGTAGTTGTAAATGTGACTTTAAATATCCCCCTCCCCCATTCCCACAAAAGAAGTAATCCTTGCGCTTCTAGAAAATTTCTTCATCCATATTACCTATTAGGCTGTTTGCAGTGGTTCCAACTCCTAATCTCCATGGTTTTTATTTATCTGAAATTGCTCCAAAATGTGAATCCAAATGACAACTCTTCACCACTTGTCCAGGACCCACAGCCTAGTGTTTAACTCACTGACTAATATATAAGTTCTAGTGTTCATAGCGTGGAACACTAGAGCTTATATATTTAGAGCATGTTCTCTCTCTACCTCTCTGGATAGATGGATAGATGGCTTGACCTACAGGTATACTTATTTATCTAGTGTTCTGACATATACTCATGCGGGTGTACACATTAGAAATAATGTATATATTGCTAATATACTATAAATATAAAATATAACCATTTCTAATATACTGTATATAGTATGTCCTGTGTGAGTTCAGTTTATGTACACCATAAATTCTTCTGTTTGGACATATACATTTTAAGTAAATTTAATTTTTAATGTAATTTATTAAGCATTTTCATCAGAGATTAAAGTAATATTTTAAAAACAAAGCAACCACCACCACAACAACAAAAACATGGAATGACTCCTATTCATACTACTAAGCATTTTCTCTCACTCTTTTAAACCACCTCACATTTTCCAGGCACTGGAAATCTATATATTTTTTTAAAATTTTGCCTAAAAAAGGAAAAGTATCAGTGATGATCAGGTAAAGATTCTACTCCACCTCAGCACAGCAGGGCACAGTGGTTCATCATTTATCATGCTACATTTTTGGTGCAAAACTTAATTCCTGTCTTATAATAATGCCACTGCTGCACTCCTGCACCCAAATGAGCAGCAAATCAGTCTTTTACAGGGACTGATGGACTTAAGCTTTTTCCTAGTTTTTCTGTAAAACATACTATATTTCAGATATAGTTTGAAAATGACTAAATAATTCACTAAAAATGTAAAACTTGATGTTCTGGAAATTCCTTTTCTGTTAATGAATGCTGAGATTGCAGCCCTGGAATTGTTGATTCCCAAGGGTCACCTTTAGAATGATGTACCATGATGTACCATGATGTAGATTCACTGCAGTTGTGGAGAAATAACACAGAGACCCCCATATGCCCTATATCTAGTTTCTCCCAATGGAAACATCTTGCATAACTGTAGCACAACATCTCATATCACATTTGGAAACTGACACTGATACAATCCACTGACCTTATTCAGATTTTATCAGTTACATATATTTGTGTAGGTTTATATTTAGTTTTCTAAATTTTATCACATATGTAGGTATGTATGAAAGTCAAAATACAGGACAGTGCTATCAGCATGATACCTCCTGCTACCTTTTTTAAAATATATTTTTATTAATTTTAGAGAGAGGAAGGGAGAGGGAGAGAAAAATAGAAGCGTCAATGATGAGAGTCATTGATCAGCTGCCTCCTGCATGCCCCCTGCTGGGGATCAAGCCCGCAACCCAGTCATGTGCCTCAACCCAGATTTGAACCTTGATCTCCTGGATCATAGGAAGATACTCAACCACTGAGCCACGCCAGCAGGGCTTCTGCTACCCTTTTATAGCCACGACCACCTCCCTCTTCCATCCCTAACCCCTATCTAGTATATATAATTTTAAAAGAAGAAATGTACTCATGTATTACTTGTATAATGAATATTAATAAACAAATGGTACATGCTTTCTCATCTACATATTAAAAATTGATCTGGCTTTTACAAATTTATGCATGATTCAGAGCTCAGAATTTCATGTTTTGAAATTCTATTTAATGTATTTAGAAAATTCTTATGTTTAGAGAATGTACGGTATAATGGTTTCTTTATAAAATAATTTCTCATTTCACCTGCAAACAGTGAAGATGTGGAGAAAAGGAGGAAGGGAGGGAGGGAGGGAAGGGGGCAGATGTAGAGGCACCTGTGGTGACCCGAGAGTGAGTATGGAGAGCACAGTCCTCCACCGGAGCCAGTAGCTGGACACCTACCTGATCATCCCGATCCCCCGGAGCTGCTGCTGATTCCCACCAGCCTTGTGTATACTAGGTATAGAGCCTGCCTCCGCAGGATCCCAAGAATGAGCTTAAGAAATGGCCTTTTTCCAGGCCCCGGGAGCTCCTCTTTTGTCCTTCCACAGTCCTGGTTACTAAATATTTTATGTACATCAGCCTGAAAAGAACTTCTGGCTGTGCAAGGGTCCCTTAAAGATTTTCTGCTTCAAGTCTCCCTTTGAAATCTGCCCTGAGCACAAAATTGTGGTAATTTTTCACCTGAAAAGAATTTTAAATGCCACCAATAGAGCTAGATGCTGATTCATTATTTATCAGTCCTATTCCTTGTACTGGGCTGTCGGCTCAGAGCTGGGGGCACAGAGTAGCTGGGCTCAAGAGAATTGCTGGTTTCCCTGAGTTTGTTTCTCTAAAAC